AGAGAGAGAGAGAGAGAGCGCGGCAGGACGATTCGACGGTTTCGCACGAGCCGGGCCCTTTCTTCCATCTTTCTCCTCCATCGTTCGGCTGATCCGATCGCCACTTGATTTCGCGACACTGTAGCAACCGCCTTTGGATGTCATCGTTGATTGGAGCTGCCACGGCTGATCGATCGAATCGACGCTAGGCAGACCTCAACGCAGCAGCTCAGCCATGACTGCTCTCAAGCTGGTCCAGCTCGGATCTGCCGGCCGAGCACCGCTCCTTCGCCATGCGCTATCGAAGGCAGCTCGGATGGCGCTGGTCTACTCCTCCTCCTCACCGATATCGGCTGTGCCTCGCTCTGCAACCTCGGCCCATCTCCGACATGCCACGACCAAGGCAGCATCCTCGGCGAGCGAGTCGAGCTCCAAGAGCCCTTCTGCCACCGCTGCTCCCATTTCGGGTGTTCCGCGGCATCATCAGGCCAAGGTCGAAGTGCTGCCGTTCAGAATCTCTTCAAAGTCTGCACGCGAATACCTGACAACGCTCGCCAAGACCGAAGTCATGCCGCGGGTGATGACCCAATGGGACATCATCAAGCACCAGGTCCGCTCGCTCAATCCTTTTCGCGGTTTTGAGGCCGACGAGCAGATAGTCAAGCTGGAACGCATGACCGCGCTGTATCTTCCCACTTGGATCGTAGACGCCTCGTTCGAGGCAAAATGTCGCGGCAACGACGGAAAGGCTGAAGCCAACTTCATCACCGTCTCTTCGCGCTTTCCCGGCCATTCGTGGAAGCCCATGGACTCGCTGCCCTTGTTCCCTCCGCCTCCTTACGATATGAAGCCGAATCAAACGAACTCCGGCGATCCTAGCTTAGATCCCAGCGCCAACAGGGAAGCCTGGGAAACTCTCGCCATGGTCGACTACGAATCGTACGAGTCGTACCTCAAGACCAAGGGCAATTCCAAGGTGCAGATCCAGGGAGGCTTGCCCGAGCCCCTTCCGTTCACCATTTCGCCGCTCTTTCTGCCGGACATGATCCGCGACCAGCTCGAGTCGGCCGATGCCACCTTCATCGCCGAGCTCGCCGCCGGCTTCGAGCTGCCTGGCGGCGACAAGCACGGTCTCGGACTCACAATGTCCTTGGTCGACGAAGACGGAAAGCCAATCATCAGCCCACCCGTGCGCTTCGAGCCGGGTTCGCTCAAGATCGACATGATGGCAGCATACCCGATCATGATGCCGCTGCACATGGCCGAGTTCAGCTATGTCGAGGCCGAAGATGGCGAGACGCGCCACTTGACGTTTGTGATGGGGGGTTGGGACACGAGCGGCCTACTCTTCTGCATGAAGGAGAAAGGCGAAGATTGGAAGCAACCCGGCCAAGGCGCAGGTCCGCTCCTCCTCCATACTCTGGACCTGTATCCGCGACCGCCGATCAAGACGCAGCTCAACGAGTGGTACGAGCGCGAGCGAGAACAAGAGAAGTCGACCCAGCGCAGAGATTGGTGGGCAGAGAGCAAGCTCGACCCGTCCGACCCTTTTACTCGTCCCAACCTCACGCGAAAAGAAGTCGAAGCCGAAATCGATCGATACAGGGCGCAGTCGAACAAGCATCTGCAAAGCGACCTACAGTCGCGTCTCAAGGAAAAGCTCAAGACCGAGCTGCCCATCGCGGCCGAGATCGAGAAGCGCAGCGCAGAGCTCCTGGAGCGCGCCGACTGGATCCACTGGGAACGCGACGAACGCGAGGCCTTCCAGGTGCGAACTGCACGCTCCGATCCAGCGCACACCATGATCACCAAAGCGCAGAAAGAGCGCTACGCTGCTGCCGTGGCTTCGGCTCGCAAAGCGCCCACGGATCCGAGGCCATTGCGATGGCTGAGCCAGCGTGACGAGCGCGAAGCGGAGCTGGAGCATCCGGACCGAAAGGCGGGGCTAGGTCGCTACATCTTTTGGAGCTCACCCCACGTGCAACGTCTGTCGCACAATGTGTATGCGAATCGACGATATTTGCGCGAAGCGATTCCCGAGGTGCTCCGCAGTCGCAAGCAAATGGCCAGCCTCGCCGAGGGAGGCTACAACGTGGACACGTCGCTGGTCAAAGTCAACCTCCAAGACGGCCGAAAGCTAAGCGGAGACGAGGCCTACCAGACCGTCGCTGCCAACGACCTCAGCATGCGACAGCAGCGCGAGGCACTCAAGCCGCGATGGCTCAAAGCCCTACAGAACTCCTTCATTCGTCGCTGAGATGCTTCCCCCGCCGAGATCTCGGCGTGATGCTGCCCAAGACGGGAATCCAGCATAGATCACATTCTGTATACACCCTTTCTCTCTTATCTGTGCAATCGCATCTCCACACCTGTACTTTTACCATCCATTCTAGGCTCCAGCGTGTCTTGTTGAGACGCCGTGCGGCTCTGCGATCAGCTGTCTCGGCGAATTTTCGCTCGCGACGGCGATCTACACGTTTGTGACAGGAAGGGCGAAGATGGTGGCGAGCCCGTGGGATACCGTTTCGAAAGCGGCTGTCGAGCGTCGATACGGGCTTATGAGGCGTTCCGCGATGCCGCACCGAAGTGAAGCGCCACAGATTTAGGCTCGCGCGGGTGATGAAAGAAGTGCCCACGCCGATCTACCGGCGATTATCCGAAGTGAAACGGCTTTGGTCGGCGAAATTGCACGGAAGGCCGTCTCGGTTGGCCAAAACCCCCACGCGGACCGAACGCTGCGAACGGGCGTTGCAGTTCGCTTCTGCACGCCGCATCGCCGCTGGCGAAGCGTACAATAGCCAGCCCATGCTCGCACGCATGAGCACACACCGCAGCTCTTCCCCCTCAAGCACGCTCGAACCTCGGTGGTCGGTTGCTGGTCGGTCGCACAGTCTCGAAAGTTACACATAAAGGGACGAGCAAAGCTCTACAAGATGTGAGTTGCCCTCGTCATCCTTTCCAGCGATCATCGATCGTATTCATCCCTTCTTCCAAGAGCCGAAGCTTTGAGAATGCTGACACGCGCTCCATTCGCTCTGCTCGCTACGCTCTCGTTGGCATTGTGCGCTTCGGCAACCTCGCACGCCTCAAAGCCAGCCAAGATGGCAAGCTACACCCTCTTCGCAGCGGGATACAACGGCACCATTGTGCCGTACTCGGTGGATGCAGACAAGGGCCAGCTCGAGCGCATCTCGCACGGCGTCCAGGTCAACTCGTCCGGCACATCGCCCTCGTGGATCGCCTACACGTCCGGTCATCACGGCCACGCAAAGCACTCGGATCTGCGTCTGTACTCGGTTGACGAGACCGCACCAGGCAGGCTCTTCTCGCACACGTACCAAGCTGCCAAGGGCACCATTGTCCAGACGGGCACGGATCTGCAGCGCACCAATGGGACGTCGTCGGGAGGCGATGGCCCCGTCAGCTGCCTCGTCGGACACGGTCCCAGCAAGGGTCTGCTGTTTGTGGCCAACTACAATGCAGGTACCGCTGCCGTGGTTTCGATCAACAAGCATGATGGAACGCTCGCCAAGGAGGCCAAGCACGTGTTCCAGTTCACGCGCCCTGCCTCGGCGCCCAAGCTGGGTCCGGTGCCCGACCGCCAGGACCACTCGTACGCGCACCAGGTGAGCATCACTCCCTCGGGCCGCTGGGTGTACGTCTGCGACCTTGGTGCCGACCAGATCCACCACCTCCGCATTGACGACGCGCACAACGTCGAGTTCGTCGCCAGCACCGATCTTCCTGCCGGCTCGGGCCCCCGTCACATCACGTTCCACCGCGACTGCTCCGGCCGCACCTTCGCCTACCTCGCCTCGGAACTCGACAACACCGTCAGTGCCTTTGCACACGATGACGCGACGGGCAAACTGGAGCGCATTCAGGACCCCATCCTCGCCTCTCCTCCTGGCGAGCCGCTGAGTGGACCGGGCATTCTGCCCACCAACCGCACCACCGCCGAAATCGCTGTGGTCCCCGCGGGCGATTTTGTCTACGTCTCGGATCGCGGCGATGAGGAGGAAGACCACATCTCGATCTTTAGCAGGGACACCGAGACGGGCAAGCTGAGCTTTGTCGAGTGGGTCAAGAGCGGCGGTCGTATGCCGCGACACTTTAGCCTCAGCTCGGACACGGGCCGTGACGACAGCGCCCGCTGGCTCGCCGTTGGCCATCAAACCGATCAGAACATCGTCATCTTTGAACGCCACCCCGACACGGGCAAGCTCACCCGCGCCGATGTCAGAGCCAACATCGGCCAGGTCGCGTTCACCGGCTTTGCACCTTTCTAGCTCACTTTGCGCGAATGACAGAGCCGTCAGGACAGAAGATTGGACTGAAGTGAAATTGGCAAACCATGGTGATGAAAGTGGGCCTCATCTTGAGACGCCGACGAGCTTGACGCCGGTGAGGCCGGTGGTGATGGTGTCCATGGTCTTTGTGTCTGCTTCGAGCGTGGAGCTGAGGTGGTTGAGGCCCTGCTGCTGCTGTGCAAGGATGCGCGTGACGTTGTCGAGGCCGGACTGGTCGACGACGGCCCACTCAGTGGTGGCGCTCCTTCCCTCGCGCGCGAGCATCTCGCGGCGCGCACGAATGACGCCGAGCTGCGCCCAGAGCTCGTTGATCCTGGCGCGCAAGCGCGCGTGCTGCACCGGCGTAGCGTGCATGCCCGCCGAGCCGCTCGACGCTGCGCCGCCGTTGGAAGCCGGTGTGAGAGCGAGCGAGCGCGATGCGAGCGCATTGGACGAGCCCGTGATTTCGGCCTCGCATGCTTCGAGCACGGCCATCAGGCGCTCCTCCTCCGGACTGATGCTCTTGCCGCGCAGCACGGGAATCAACAGCTGCGTCTTGGCCGCAAGCCCGATGAGGCGGTGGTGGAGCTGCGCCTGGCGACTCTGTGCCGCCTGCGTGCGCACCGAGTTGGAAAGTGAGTGCTTCTGCTCGAGCGCGGAAAGCCGCTGGGCGAGTGTGGCGAGCAGTGCGCGCTGACGCTGCGCCTCGCGCGCCTGGGACTCGATACGCTTCTTGAGATCGTTGAAGCCAAGAGCCAGTACGGGGTACAGACGGTTGGGATCCGGATTCTCGCGCACAGCAGCCGTCCAGAGCTGGTCGTGCATCGGTCCAATTGCATCCGGCCGCCTTCCTTGGATCATCTTGAGGTTCTGCGCGTTGCCGGCATTGTTATAGAAGTAGTAGGCGAATCGACAGCCGGCAGCATTGTTGGTGTCCCACGCGGCGCGGATCTGCTCGAGCTTGGCCGAGAGACTGACGCCGAGCTTCTTGTCCGGCTGAGCAGCCATGCCCTGCTGTTGCTGTTGCGGCTGAGCGGAGAATTGCGTCTGCGCGACGGGCTGCTGCGCGCTCGTGGTTGCGAATGACGAAGCCGGCGCGCCGAACAGCGACGTGGTCGATTGCTGCTGCCGCTGCTGTGGTTGTGATGCTGTGTTATTTTGTGCGCCGAACGAAAAGCCGGATCCTGCTGTGTTGGTCTGCGTGTTGGTGCTTCCAAATAGCCCGCCTGTCCCAGAGCCAAATGTGGATGTGGCTCCAGCTGCTGGCTGTTGCTGAGGCTGTGATGTGGTCAGGCCAGCGGGCTTGGCGCCGAAGGAAAAGAGTCCACCTGTAGATGCAGCAGCCTGTGTGCCAGGTGCTGCCGCATTCGAGCTAGCAGCGGCCGCGGGCTGCGAGCTGCCGAATCCGCCAAAGAGACCTCCGCTCGACGTGGCTGGTGCGGCGGGTGCGCCGACTTGGGCCTGTGGTTGCGATGCGGGTGTGCCGAAGGAGAAGCCGCCCGAAGCAGGCTTGTTCTGCTGCTGCTGCTGTGCTGGTGTCTGTCCAAACGAGAAGCCGGATGTGCCGCTCGAGCTTGCAGCGGGCTGCGATGCCGCGGGTGTGCCGAATGAAAACGCCATGGCTGCGTGCGACCGAGCGTCAAAGACCGCCAGAGAACAGTGAAAGAAGTTGGAAAGGTGCGGGTCGTGCTCCGGAAGGGCCTATTAAACCGGATGTGGTAGCGTCGAGAGGGCTGGAGATCAACACCACCGACAGCGACGAACTTATGCGGGTTGGTGGATCTGTCACAAATCGCGATCGCGTCCACCAGAAGTTTTGGTGGGTGCGGAAAAGCGCCATCTGCTGGTCAGTCCGCGCTTCCACAACACAGAGATCGGCGCCGCGCTGAGATTTGTTTGACCGCGTTCGAACTTACATTTCTGAATTTCGATCGTGGAGCGCTCGCTATTTTAAGCGCGTGCCACACGGGCCATTCCACCGTGCGGCGCGCCAGTTGGCAAAGGACCCTAGACGAGCAGAGATCCACCAGGTGCAGCCATCAACATCACGATACCCAACGCACCTCCGACGACCCCGCAAGCGCGCAATCCCATCTCGAGACGCTCACGCCAAGAAGACTCCCCAAATAAGATGGTTCTGGGACGACTGATGCACTACGCAGGCGATGCGCTGCTCATCTCCACCGTGCTCGCAGGCATCAAGCGCCAGACTGGCCTCCGTCCAGATATCGACCGCATCTCCGAACCTACAACCAAGGGCCTGCTCGAGAAGTACCTCGGATTCGGCGAATTCGTCTTTGACAGCAGCGTCGCCGCAGCACGCGCCTCGTCTCTCTTCCAGAAGGACCTCGTCGACAGACTTCAGGGCCGACCTGCTCCTTAGTGTGCCACCACAAACCGCGCTTTGCCCGTCCTCAGAGGCTCCCCGTGACCCTCAAGGAGGTCCGATTCGGCTCGACTGAGTGTACCATCTCGCTCGCTTCCAGCACTCTCGTCAGCCGTACTTGCACCTCAGATGCGATAGCGGGCGAATTCTCATCTATGCTGTACATCAAGGCTACGGATCCGCTCCTTGTATAATACCATTGACTCAAAATTGCTTTCTGGAGCGCCTTGCGAATGTGCAGCACCTCCCGTGAGTGTATCATGTGAACTCACATGCTCTTGAAGCCATGGCTTATCGGTCGCAGGTTGACAAGAGGCTTCGACTGGTGCACGTCCCGATCGAGCAGAATCGGCGCACCGATCCTTTTGTTGCCCCTATTTTCGGCGCGCGTTTTCTGTTCGCCGGCACTTCCTTCTTTCCTCCCAGACAGGTGGCTTCGATTTTCAGTGACCTCACCACAGTTCGCTAGATAGGTGGAGGCATGCCTGTGCTTACTAGGCTTCGACCCTGCATGCCATGCCGCTCACGGACGATGCTGACATCTTCACTGTCTGAAGTAGAGTAGCAGCGAATGCGGTCTGGTTCGAAGAAAACGTTTCGAATGTCACATGCTTCGAGCGGCCCGAACATCAGTCTTGGTAGCGGTGCATGCGGGCGGTGCATCGTGTGCGAGCCGGCCAAAACTCGCCGAACCCTTTCCTTTCCTCTCGGTAATCCAACTCCGCGGCGTTTTTGCCGTTCCGTTGGTGCCGGACCTCATGTCAGGCATCCTTCCGTTGACGGACTACAGCATTGCCTGCACAAGGCCAGGCCGAAGACTGCATGGTTTGGGGCAGTGCCCTGCTCTTCGGCTGAGGCTGCCGAGTATCGTTGTCTGGCAGACGCTCTTGACAGGGCCCAAGTCTGATTTCCGGCCCGTGTCAGTGCTCCCGTGAGGCGAGCAGAAGAGTGGAGGATCTTTTCCTGCTAGTCTTAGGGGCTCCTTCCCATCCCCGCACCGTTCGTCATCCCCTCCATCACAGCGTTCCCGATCCGGTCCCCAGCTACGCGCATCGAGTTCGCCATGTCGGGGTTGGGTGAGGCGAGCAAGAAGCGAAGCTCGTTCTCAATGTTGACGCGAAAAGACCTTGCACCCTCGACCAAGCAAGTGACGGAAGAGGCTGAGCTGGCGAACGGCAGATTCATTCCGGAGAGCAAGCGAGGATGGAAGTACGAGCTTCCTTTCTCCCAGGCGGCGACGGCTTCGACCTCCAAGCTGCATCACGTCGCCCAATCTTCAGCGTCCGGATCCACCATTGCAGCTGCAGGCACCCCGCGGCGACCAAAAACGGCAGATGTATCGGAGCTTCAGAAGGACAAGTCCAACGGTCCTATCACTGCTGCCTCAGGTGGTCCCGCTGGCGCAAGGTCCACGCCGGTCTCTCCAAAGAGACGTCCAGTCCCTCTCGCCGCAGCACCATTCGACGAGACATCTTCCGACTCGTCTTCTGGTGATGAGCGGAACCGCAGCTCGTCGTCGGAAGATGAGCTTCAAGCTCCACATCAAGAGGCGCTCCAACAGGCGGAGGCCTTGAGAGACGGGGTGGAGCAACAGCGCCATCACCATCCAGATGATATTGTGTATCCGGAATCGTATCCGTGGAAGCCCTCGCGCCAAGACCCGCAGATGCGGTTCATCAATCCAGCCCACCGCAACCCTACCGCCAAACAGGCGTTCTACGACACGCACTTTGGCTCTTCGTCCAACTATCGAGGACTCCTTCCTGCATCAGGATCGATTCTGAGCCTCAACAGCTCCAAGGCGGATGCTCGACGACAGTCCGGCGAAAAGGGCACTGGAACGGGCGCTACCTCGGCAGAGCAAGGAGCCGATGCGCAATCCAATGGCTTAGTTTCCACAGTGATGAAGCCGTTTACTACGGCATCCAAGCTCATCACCAAGGCAAGGCGGAAGAGCGTGGGAACAAATCTCGAGCTGCCAGAGTCTGCAGCCGCTGCGTCGACGGACGCAACCGTGCAGCTAGGCGAGGAGAAGCCGACACGGCCGCATGCAGTGCCGCTCTTCCATGCTGGCGGAGACGACCTGGCTGCACAGAGGTCTGGGTTCAGCTACGGTCTATCCATGGAAGACGCCGTTCAGGTCGAGGCGGTGGTGTCTCGCCGTTCGTCGCGCGAAGACCTGTCGTCGCCCGACCGGCTGGCTGAAGAGCTTCTCGAGCCCCGAACACAGGCAGCGTCGTCGTCCAAGTTGAAGGAAGCTATGCACAGCGTCTGGGGCTTCCTACCTTCGTTCGACTTTCTCGCTTCGCCTCCGCCCGCCGATGGATCCAGCAAGGGGACCCCGTCCGTGAACCTCTTGGAAGCCGAAGCGATCCCGTCTGTCAAGAAGGATAGTGGTGCACCGGACTACTTCAAGAACCTGTCTGGCAATGTGGTTCTCATGGGTGGCTATCGTGGCAGCGTGCTTCGCGATGCCGAGACCAACATGATGATGTGGATCCCCATCAAGGTGGGTGTTGGCCTGCGCAGGCCGACGCTCGAGCTCGGACTTTCGCGCGAAGCCGAGGAGCATTCGGAGGAGCTCGTCTACTCGTCCGAGATGTGTTCGCACATAGGCAGGCTCGTCGACATGGGCAAGCGCCTCGAGGAGCGTATTGCCAGCCGACGTCACGCAAAGGTGTACTCGTGGGGCTACGACTGGCGGCTGTCTCTTGGACTTTCGTCTCGCAAACTGGTCGCCTTTCTCGAGCAGCTGTACGAAGCATCTGCAGGCGAGCCGAGCAGGCGTCGAGGTGCCAAGGTCGTTGCGCACTCCATGGGCGGGCTAGTAGCGCTGCATGCACTCGCGACGTGCAAGGATCCGCGCATCTTCGAAGGGCTCGTGTTTGCATCGACCCCCTTCTGCGGCACGCCCAACATCCTCGGACCATTCCGATTCGGAGATGCGGCGCTGTTCAACGACACAATCTGCTCGCCCCGCGCGACGTTCAGCTTCCGCAGCAGCTTCTACCTCCTGCCCACCGACAAGCGATGCTTTGAAGTTCCAGTCGGCGAACCCGATCAGGACGAGGACGCACTGACGGAAGAGCAGAAGCGCCAACGCTTTAAGGACGTCGATTTCCTCGATCCACACGTGTGGGATGAGCTCGGCCTCAGCCCTTGTCTCGAGCCTGGTCGTAGGCAGGAGATCCTCGCCCTAGCGCGCAAGGGAGCAGACAACGGCACGGAGGCGCATCCGGTCCAGTCCAGGCCGGAAATGGATAGCGTTGATCCGGGCAAGCTCGAGCGGGAGACTTCCGATGCCATACAAGCAAGTGCCGAGGAAAAGCAAGCACCAAACGGTATCGAGTCGCCCGACTCGAGCGAGGGCGTTGAACCGAACGGCTTGACGATGGGTCTCGTGGAAGGCTTTTCTGACGGTGCTGCACTGACCGGCCAAGCAGGCGTAGCAGCTTCGCCCGACGAACAAGCGGCTCTGCAGCCCGAGAACCGCCAAGGGGCGCCGCGCAACGATGCCACCGCGTCCGAGTCGTCCGCGCTCGCCTTCGATTCGCTCGACTACCCCACGCAAAGCTGGGCCTACCTCGAGCGGACGCTCGGCGAAGTTCGACAGTTCTGGGCGGACATCGAGTGCGGGTTTGACCCCGCAAAGCAAGCTGCTGGCCAGTATCCTCCTCTGATGCTCATGACTTCGGGTCGAACGCCGTGCGTGCGTGGAGCCCTGGTGGGTGTCGACTCAGCATCCCGTGGCGAGGACACGGAGATGCAGGGCTGGAAAGACGATGTGCGCGCCGGCGACTACTCGCGCATGACCTACGCGGCCGGAGATGGCGTCATCACCCGTCGATCCGCCACCACCCTCCCCGGTCGCTGGTCCACCCTCCTCACCAAGCGCTCCGAGGCTGAGACACTTCCACATGACAGGTTCGGCAAAGGCCCACCTTTCACCTCCAAGCCGCCAGGAAAGGCCAGGCTGAAGATGGATCGATACCGCATGAGGTTCGACGGCGAAGGCATCGTCGAAAGCGCCCACCGTCACGTCACGCTGCTTAGCGACGTAGACTCAGTAGGCAAATGCCTCGAAGCCATCCGCAGGGCCAATATCGTCCGCAACCGCCTGCCCCTCTCTTCCACCAGATCTGCCTCTTAGACACTCTGATCGCATCGATACGAGGCGACACACCTCATCATTCATGGTGAAAAGAGTGAGCAATGCTGATGAGCAAGCAAAAGTCCATAGGCATTGTAACGTTGACATGAGAGGATGACTTGCTGAGATGCTGAAATGCGATGTGGTCGTACGCTTCGCTATCGTGCCTAGGAGCTGTTTCTGGTAGGCAGGGGAGGCGGTGGAGGAGCCAGCTTCGCCTTGGACCGCGAAAGGAAGGAAGAGCTGGGAGGGATAGGTGGCGGAGGTCCGCGCTGTGATGGACTACCTGAAAGTCCATTCGTCGGGCCGTTCGCTGTGCTCGAAGCGCCCTTGAACGACACCCACGACGAACTGGGCTGCATGCCGGGCCTCCTTGCACCCGTACTGTCGATCAAGCTGCCCGACGTGAGGCCTTGACGCTCCTCTTCATCGTCCGTGGACGCCTCGGATTCGTCGAACCGTCCGCCCGTCTGCTGCGGCGACATCGCAGACCCTCCAAACGGATCCGCACCATCCGAGAACGCCGACAGCCCCGTATGATTGAGCGACAATGAGTGTGGCTGGAGCGCCCCCGATGGCCCCAAGAACGTGCTGTCCATCATGTGCACCTCGGCGCTGAGCTGCGACTCTCCGCGTTCATGGATGGTGTCGTGGGTGGAGCGGTTGCGCTGGACATCCAAGAAGTCCATCGCATCCGCGTCGGGCGAAAAGGGAGATGCATCGTGATCTCGAGCGTGGTCTTCGTCGTCCGAGTCGGCGCGAGAAAGCCTGAGGTCAGGCGAGGCAGTGCCATGGCCATTGGCGGCGGTACCATCGTGATGGCCCAGGTGGACATCGTGCGCGGACACGGACGGCCGCACGTAGTCGCGTGCGGGCAGGGCCGGGGGTCGACCCGCGTGGTTGTCGTCACCGTTGGTCTGCGTCTTGTCGGCGTGGTCCATCGAGACGAACCCGGGTTCCTTCTTGGAGCGAGCCATAAAGTTCCACTTGCTCGGCTCTCGCTCCTTGTCGCTGCCAGACGCTTCACCGTTTGAGCTAAAGAGAGTGGATCCTTTGGCGCGTCCGAACGATCCGATGCCGGAAGCCACAGAAGCGACGGTGTCACCAGCGCCGCTGAACGAGGGCATACGCAGGCGATTCTTCTTCTCCTTGTCCTTGTCCTTGTCCTTGTCCTTG